CATTGTGGTAATGAGATTATTCCTAAGGTTGTAGGTCATAAGAATGGTTCTAATGCGTGGCGTGGCATCAAGAAAATATAGGAAGAGACTTTAAAAGGGTTTGCGTGGCAAGTGGGGCATGGTTTATCTGTTAGATTCTAGAATGACAATTGGCTTTCTCATTAAGAACCTCTCTTATATTATGTCAGCAAATCAGTTCCTGAGTCTTTATGTGAGGACAAGGTGGCCAAATATGTCTCAGCATCTAGTAGATGGTTGTAGGAGAAATTTAAAGAATATCTCTCCACTAACATTCTCAATGCTGTGAACAATATGTGTTGTAGAGATGTAGATGATGAACCGAGATGGAAATGGTTGGCTAATGGGTTGTTCAGTACAAAATCAGCTTACCTCAATCTATGCCTAAGAAGTGAAACTTCCAGCAAGCAATTATGGAGGAAAGTGTGGAAGGCACCTGTTCCACAACGTAACAAAACATTTTTATGGATGTGCATTAGAGGAAGAATAATGACCAATTGTCTTTAAAAAGCTAGGGGTTTCCAATCATCATATGCATATGATCGCTATGCTAATTGTTACAAAGACATTCTTCACAGCCTGAGAGATTGTTCAGTGGCTAATGAATGCTGGAAAAGAGTTGTTCCATTAGAGATGCAAGTAAATTTCATCTTTCATAATGATCACGTTGAATGGATTGCTTGGAATCTTTTCCAAAGGAGTAATGTGAAAGGTGTTAGTTGGACTATATGTTTCTATTCTTTGTAGATAGTTATGGCTGAGTAGAAACTTAAGAGTGTTTGAACATAAGAGAAGGGGATATATAACATTCTTGCACAGACTCAAGCAATGGTAAAGTAGTCTAACCCAAGTTTGCTTGCAAATCATTTGAGTCATGACATTACTAGATGGAGTGCACTAGATATTGGAGTCATAAAATATAATGTGGATGGAGCTTGCAGTGATAGTAAGGAATATGCAAGATGTGGTGGTGTCGCTCATGACCATAAAGGCAAAGTCCTTGGTGGATTTATTTACCACATTGGCCAAGGGAGTAGTATGCAAACTGAGTTGTGGGCAATCTGTTGGGCATTCAAGAGAGCTTGGGATACTGGCTGGTGAACAGTGGAGGTTAAATCTGATTGTACTGAGGCAATCGAAGCTTTGAGGGGTGTTAATTCAATTCTCCATCTTGATCATGATTTAATCATAGAAATTAAAAGCATGTTATATTAGGAATGGTGTGCTGGCATGAAATGGTGTAGTCGCAAGGTTAATACCGCTACAAATAGACTAGCAAAGGAGGCCATGGATCGAAGAAATGGGGTAGTATTCTTCTCAGACCCCCTGCGTTTATTTCTAAGCTTTTATCTTATGATGTAAGGGTTTAGGACCTTCTCTTCTATTTCCACCGAAAAAAAGAATGAACAAGTTTATGGTAAGAAAATTTTGTGTATTTAATTATCTTTTAATCGAATTACATTTTTCATTGAATTAGTTAATTATCTTTCAAATTACACTCTATTTTTATATTTTTTCTTATTTAATATGGTGTCTCAATTAAAAATAAAACCTTATCACAACCCCTGATTATAGGTATTTTTGACCAAAAAAAAAAACTCATTAATTGTATCTTGACAAATTCAAAATGTTTTATGTGTTTTAAGGGAAGGAGTGTGTGCGTGTGCGTGTGCGTATAATAGTGTATTATAACTTTTACCTCTTTTTTTCCCGCAATGGAATAGGCTTAAAAGTTATAAATATTTATTAAAAAAGAAAGTTTTGTTTACAAGGATGTTGATGTTGGTGGAAGTTCTGTGACGGGTAGAGCATTGGATTTTCTTTTTTCTTTTTTTCTTGTTGCACAGAAAGAGCATTGGAATTAGAATATATGAAGCCAATTTAATGTGTCAACAATATAAAGCAAGGCATGCAATTAAGGATCCAATGCTCTTAGTTAGGTTAGCTCAACCATACATTAAGCCATTCCAATCAAAGGGTGTGAAAAATAGAATGAAAGTGATTACCCCTTATTAAAAAACGAGCGGTTTGTTACTCCATAATTTTTGCATAGAATTGCTGAATTTCGTTAATCAAAACTTTACGAATAATTTTTTTTGATAAAAAGTGTAGATCGTAAGTATATAGATTATGAAGTAGATTTTATTTAAAAAGAATTGAATGAGAAAAATGATTTGACTTTTGAAAGGAACAGAGAGATGCTACAATGCTAGATTCTCACATCATTGTAGATGGATATGTGTATGCTCTTCTTAATAAGATTTAATTACCTAGCAACTCATTTCATATATCATAAGGTTTGCCGGACACAACAAGATTGCATTAGGAACGATGGATGTGGGAATTAAAGAAGAGCGTGTGGCGGAAGAGAAAACCCCACAAAGGGCAAAAGGACGAAGAATACGACCGATGAACCAAAGGTAGATTACCAAAGGTAGCTAGATAAATATAAAGCAAACACATTTTCAACGGACACTCGAGAGAAGAGATTGACTTTTCTTTCATGGCTCCAATTTAATAAATGCTGGCGTGGATATTGCATGAACTTTAGGATAATTCTAAATATAATGGCTGCATCATTGGCCCTCTATTCATGTATTCTTCTACATGGTTCGAGAGCTTTCGACAAATAGTCATTTGTTTTATGAGCATGGATTTTTTTAATGCGTATATTTGAATTTGATTGCTTTGATACCACCGTCGCTGCCGTCCTTCGCACCATCAATATTTCATATTATTATTGTTCTTGTTAACACTCCTTTTATAGTTAATGATCATTTTCGCCCTTGCAAAATATTATTGAAAACCTTAAAATTAATTTGGAATTATTTTTACCCATCAACAAAACGATCCCCTCTTCACGCACCCTCACGTTAACATGCCTGACATTCATTAGTGTCGGTCCTTTTTTTTTTATTTATTTTTAGTGTTTTTTATTATAAAATATTATTCATGAGCCTCACATTATTTTTTTTTAAATATATTTCCCCCCTCTCCTCTTTCTCCTCCCCACTCTTTCCATGTGTCTCTCCCTCCTCCAAATCTGCAACCTTCTCCGCCAACGTCTTCAGCTCTTATCACCGACTTCTTTCCCTCCCTCATCTTGAGCACAGCTACACTATCAACTCAGTTTAGGTTATAGTGCACACATGGGGCTGGGTCTCCTCTCTCGGGTTACACTCACCACCGCATGCTTTTGTGTTTCCCTCGTTTCTTAGAGCCACCATTGCTGGAAGCTTCACTTCACAGCGGTGACTACCATGACTCTCACTGTGCAATCTCTCTTCTGTCATCCCCATAGACGACGCACACAAGTAGGAATGCTTTGAGCCAAGTGGTGCAGAGCCTCGCCACCATGCTGGATTTTACATTGATTTTGGTGGCATATATAGTTTTGAAAAGATGATAAAGTCGTGCAACTTACGTGCTCGAATAGATACAATAATCAGTTGAGAAAGCACATTCCGACTCACCACCCGTGTTGACGAAGTCTTCACTCTTGCATCTCAGATCTGCACACGTCAACAGTTTAATACCTCTTTTGACGTGTTTCCGAAAAACGGCGCGGTGCCATCGACACGCAGGGTGGACCTTCGGGTGTAGTTTTTGCTTGTGACTTCGTCGTTGCACCAGATCCAAGTCAGTTCGCTACTCTTATCGACAATCAGCCAGAAACTCTGCGGTGGCGTTTCGACCCTCACTTGCACGTAGTAATCGCTTATCATGTATTCCCAACCCGTGCGCAGCGGCATTTGAAACCCCTCCGATACATGTCCATCGATCAGAGCTCGCTCCTTCATGGCTTCGTATTTATCGAGCTTGAGGTTCTCATTCCCTAGTATACGAGGATCGTGACAATGCACCAATTCGAGGTTGACGGGCTCCGGATCGAACTCACACTTGGCCAGTGATTTGCCTAGAAAAATTGAATAGTGGGGCAAAATTGCAAAAAAATTTCTCAATATAAACATGATTTTTTTAAAAAAAATCATTTTAAATATTTATTAAATTACATTCAAATTAAAAATTTGCTAAAATTAATTGCTAAAGAATATGGCATAGTACATGAAGTTATAATGATGTATTAAATAAAACAATCCGTGTATAAATAAATTTTTAATAGTTATTGAAGTTATTTTTTATTAAATAAAATTTGTTTATCTTTAGTAGATTAATTTTTTGTAATAAATTTTTTCATTTAAAAAAATAAAAAAAATTTGAATTATTACTCTCTCCATTCTAAAACTATCATTATTTGAGATTATAACATATAGATTAGGTTTGAGTAAAATAAGTTTTTAAGGGGATAAGTGAATTTTTTCCATTGAGAGGATGCAGTTGAAATTTTTTGAGGGGGGCATTGAATTTTTTGGGTCATTTTGTACAATTTTGTCCAGTCTTATGAGGGCAGTTGCCCCCATAAGCTAATGAGTAGGTCTGTCCCTGCTTGTGGCAGCAGCTGAGGAGGCGGAGCAGAAGGAGGGTGAAGAGGAAGGAGAGGAGGAAGTGATTCACGGGAGTTGCAGAAAGAGGAAGAGGAGGGAGGGAGAGGAGAGAGGGATATATAAAAGAAGTAATGTGAGCCTAAATAATATTTTATAATAAAAAATATTAAAAAAAGTGAGACCTGCACTAACAGACATTGGGTGTGCTAGCATCAGAGTGCTGGAAGAGAATCTTTTATATTGAAAGATAAAATAAACTCAAATTAAGTTTTAAAGTTTCTAATAATCTTTCACATCCAGTTAAAAGAAGGCAAAAATAACGTTTAACGCTTCATTCTATGCTAAACAAACATACACTGCCTAAGTGAATGTTATACAATTTAATTTTATAACTTCGAGATGTTACAGTAATCATCTTTAAAATATCCAATGAACTCCAGAAAATGTTTGGTACCAGGATTTTTTAACTGTACAAATGGTAAGTATCTTTTATACTCTCGTCATTACTTGGTAGATGGGAGGGGGGCAAAATTTCGAAACAACAAAATTACTTTCGTCATTCAAAATGCTTCATTACATATTAAACATCACAAATGACCTATGTTCTTTTTCCAAAATATACAAATATCAAACAGGCATTGTGTTGAAAATTAAAGCCGAAATCGTTCTGAATTTCAAAATTTGACAAGTGGTATTGAAGAAATACATTATCAATCTTTGCTAATATAATATTTAGATAGAAAAAATACAACAAACCTGTAAACAATTAGGACAGAATCCCCGAGCAGCTTACTCCTCACAGCAATACAAAACCCCAAAAAGTGACAAGTCACTACCGACGATTCACAAAAAAGGTGACTACCGACGATTTCTGCCGCCCCTCCCTCTCCCTCTCCCTTGACCGAAACTGGACTTGTTTGGCTGAAGCCCCAAGGACTGAACTCCCCTTCTCTTGCGAGGTTGGTCTTCTTCGTCTTCCTTGTACTTGGCTGAGCTTTTAGTGGTAAATGTAATCTCTCGTGAACCTCCGGGCCCCATCTTCACACCATCCGACATAGCAGAAGACCTTTCGCCGTCTTTCAAAGCGGCTACTCTGTCTCCCATTGGAAGCGAGTCCTCCTCTGCAAGGGACTTCCGCTTCCAGAATGCCTCTGCATGCAACTCATTCTTGATTTCATACATTCTGCAGGTCATGCGAAAATATTATTCATGTATTATCAAAATGTACTAAAATCCGATAGATCGCAGCCCATTTAATCTCATGAAAGGATAAAAATCCTGACAAGTCTCTAATGAGTTCTCACCTTGGGACCTGAGGTTTAGATTTCAGTTTACTTGCAGATTCATCTTCTGAGGATGCCGACCCATCAGAATCACTTGAACTCTGATCTTCATCGGACATGACGGGCTCAAAATGCTCCTTCAGTAAGGAAGTTTGCTTCTTAGAAGAAGCCATGGGATGTAAAGCCAGATATTCTAGTGAGGATGGATTAATCTCGTAATCCTGAAACATAATTAGAATAAAACGCTTGTCAGAAGTAATAATGTCTTGTAGAAAATCAAATGGATCATAAACAAAACCACACAATCAAGCCAACTTTCAACATGTAAAGCCTTCAGATTTTTTTATACTGCAATTGAAAATTCTAACATCTAAAACTTCTGGAATGATAAGATCCTTAACAAGTTTGAATATGACTAATACATGTTCAACCGAAAGCCCACAAACCACAAGAAACACGAGTTATCAATTTTAACAAAAGCACAAAAAAGCTGTCAGAATGGACCTTGTTCGTAAACATTGCAGCAAATCGATCATCTCTAAGATCTTGCATGCTAAGCCCCTTCTTTTTCTTAGAAACCTTTTTAGCTTCATCATCGTCAGTATCCTTTTCATTTTCAGCTTCTTCACTTTCAAGAAGGCGAGCTGCAAGGGCCCGATTAACTTTTGGCAATTTTCTTCTAATCTGCAGGGACAACAAATAGTAAATTGTAGAGGCTAAGGAATTACCGTGGATTCAAATAACTATTCAGATTCCAATCTAAACCACTTTGTCGCGCTAAACAATTAAACAACAAATCATGAAACTGCTTCACAACACCCAAACCAAAAGATGTCCCCAAAAATCACACGCAGTAAATCTAAGGCATACATGTTTTTAACAAATCAAATCGTGTTCGATTGATAAAGAGAATCATGAAGAGGGGCCAAAAAAAAAAAACGCGCACACACACACCCCCAACACAACGGCGGATTGAAGTAGCGTACTTCATCTTCTCCTCAGAGACATAATAAGTTCATACAAATGAAATGAGAAAGCAATAAAACGCAGGCATTCAACTTTAACTGAATCTAAATCTTCAAGCTGAGAAATTGTAGGAACCAAGCAGAGAAAATCACATTCAAGCAGGGTTTAATATGTGTGTGTGAGTGATTTTCATAGAATTAATGGAATCTAAGAAATCAACCGTAATCCGTGAAGCACGCTCAGCTTCCAGTTTTTCTTGCTTCTGCTGTTCGATATATGATTCGTATTCAAAAGGATCTGCCAGTGCTTTTGCCTGCAAAAGAGTTAATGCACCATATGAGAGGACAAAAATATGAGATCCGGAAATCTCAAGTAAATTGAACTTCTACACGATTAACATGGTTGAAGACCATTACTTCTACCAATCAAGACAACATATGGCTAATGTGACACAACATGGATGAGAAGAGGATTCTGTTCAGGCAATAATAAGAACACGAGGAGGAAAAAGAAAAATCTATGGAGAATGACATTTAAGGCTCTTGAGAGAGAGTTTTTATCGCAAGAAGAGCTCATCAATTCTGCATCAGATTTATTCTTGTAAAAACATGTATATATTGTTGGTAAAAGCTGAATCTTAATTTGTTTTAAAAGTTAAACCTTAACTTGTATTTTTTTTTTAGGGCTTCCTTGAAAATTTAACAAGTTAAAATTCAACTTTTAACAACAAGATGTACGTGTTTTTACATGACAATATCCTATGCAAAATTGATTGGCCCTTTTGCATTAAATTCCCTTGTGAGGGCCTTAAATACCATTCTCCCAAAAATCTAGCCTACAAATTAATGGTCTTGTCTTCAACCAACTGACCAAGCCATCAAATTACCATAAAGACCCCATGAGTGGAATCTGATTGAAATGGCCTGCTTCAAATACCCTTCTCAACTAAGCCACGGGGGTAAGTACAATTTTTCATTCTAGGATACAGTAAGAGTTTAAGCCTTAGAACATGATGTTTTTAGTTAAAGTATAGCAACACAAAACCAGAGTAACCTTACAAGCTCAAAGAGGTGTGTGAAAATCAGGACTATTCTATGCAAGATTTGTGTCAGGTCCCAAAACTAAAGTAAGGCTTGCAAGAAATTCGGAAAATCCAGGGAAGGCTGGAGTATATTACTCTAAGAGATATGACATGTCCTACGTCTCAGCCCCCATTCCTGATATAATCGCAACTTGCTTAAAGTTCATTGGATTTGGATGTCATTATATTCAACCTTTTTTTGGCCAAAATTATATTCAACAAACAATGGTATCGGAAATGATGTGGCCTTTGAAACATGACCTATATGAAGCTTGATCCAATTAACACTCACAAGTTAGAACATAATAATAAAAAGGAAGACGCTTCTTTTCCATTGACTTCATCAGAGAAAAATATTATTTGTTCACAGCTTAACATAATCAATATAATAATGATAACAAAAGAGGAAAAATCTAGTCATGTTCCCGCCACAATAAAAATCAAGGTGCGAGCATCTCAGTAACTCGTACAAAGCTTGTAGACAGAGAAGTAAGCAAAATTGAGAAGGAAAACCCACCTTTTTGTATAATGAATAATTAATAAAGAAGCCATGCATGTAGGCTCTGAGTAGATTGGTACCAATTAGGTTGGTCAAATTTAACCTCTCAAGTTCTTCTTTCGTCAAAAATTGATAATAATCGTAAATAGTTGCTAGTCCACCCATATCTAACTCCTCCTGTTCAATGAATATAATGTCAAAGGCAGATAGCTAAATGATAGATTGATTTAATATAAATTAAAACATCAACAACAAACCGTAAAATTTTCTAGGGAAGAACACCACTTGGGAGCAGGTCCAAGGGCTGGTATAAAGTAAGATGGGATTTGGCTGCAGTCCAAGGCCAGCAGGATCAAACCACTACCACTGAATGTACATACATCATTTATTATTCCTGCAGTTGGTTCAATGCTGGTCATGCCTTCTCCCTGAAATCAATGATTAAATTCAATCTTATGATAAACTCTAGATAACGATACCTCACTACAGCTATTATCTACTAGCACCACAATTTTTAAGAGCACATCTGAAGAACGTAAGGTTGTGCATAGGTGTTACAAGTGTTGAGAATTTGCAAAAACATAATATGCATAAAACTTCTTGAAAGATCAAAGTAATGCCGTTCAATATGCCCAATCAACTGAGCAGGTATGCTGATCATTTTTTACATAACAGATTTGTTGGATCAGAAGATAAAAGAGAAAGAACCAAAATGACAACTTTACCGATTCAGGATCCCATATTCTAACAACATGCTTATCACTGGTAATCAACTTTGGTCGTTCATAATTAAGAGTATGATGCCACTTAATATCCAATATGGCACTTCCATACCTGCACAAGACATTTTCTTTTCCAGCAACATTAAATAAAAGACAATTAAAACCAATAAAAATCCCAAACACGAGCATGCTCACTTACATGTGATCCTTAATTTGTATAGGATGTGATGAGCGCAAGTCATAGATGAGAACCTGCATGCATGTTCAAGGAAAAAAATTAAAAACTAAAAAGGAAAAGAAAATTTACCTATGGGGACTCAGTATAACAGGCAATTTTTTTAAAGTTATATCATGTAAATAAACGTCCAAATTTGGCTGTTTCATTTTGAAGAAACATGCATGGCAAAAAATCTAATCCACGAAATAAAGTTGTTTTAACAAAAAAATCACATGCAAATTGTTAAAAAAGCTAGGATAAGGGTTCCAACGTGAGCAGTGCTTTTCTTCAAGTCATATTTCTGTTAACCCTAAGTTTCAACAGTCTGAGAGCAGTCTCCACTGCCAAAAGTTTAGAGTCAGAGCCTGATTCACCACATTGAGAAGCTTTGGGTTTGTTGTCTGAGCGATTCTCAGTAAGAATGGAATTATTGCTTATTTCTAAATTATTGCCAGCCTTGCGTTAGGTAAGTTAGCCGTTTCCTTTAATGTTCTGGCAATTTGTAGTTTAACACTTGTACACACAAGTAAGCTTTTGTCAAGATTTTCATCAAAAGGATGATACACATGTCACAAAATACGATGCAAATGTTGCAGCAATGGCATAACTATAATGATTTTGCATACTACCTTCCCTGCACTAGTTCCAACAGCCATTAAATAACCTCCATCATCAAACTCTATTGCAGTGACCTCCTGCAATATATTTAAAAGAATCACCAACTAAGATGTCAATTATGCAGGAAAGCTTTGGGAAACTTCCAGAACCTCATCAGCACAACCAATTTTTGACTTATAAATAACACTTTGTCAGCACATTTGAAATTATAAACTAAAGCATATTATAATATCCTTGCAACATTCATCTTTCCCTAAACTAGCATGGGCAACAAGAGAGAGAAACCAGTACCTGGTCAACATCACCACTTGGTCCACTGGCATCAATTCTACCAATTGAAGATCTCTCTCGCATATCAAAACATTCCACAGCACCATCTTCACCACCACAAGCAACTAGACCATGAAGCTTGCTAAAATATAAAGTTAAAGCTTCAAAAGCTTAATACAAGGAACAAGAATAAAAGATACATGGCTCTTATAACTGAAGGAAACAAAGAAGGGTAGCATAATGACAATTTCCACAAATTACCTTCGAGATACAACATTCAAAGCTGGGGATTGTGTGGAAAGGGAGGGGAGAAATCGTCCCTGACAAATCAAAGATGTCAATCAAAGAAATACTTACCAAAAAGCTAGTCTATCACTTTGATATGAGAAATCTCAATTAATTTCTTTTTGGAGACAAACAAATCATAAGATGGAAAAATGGAAGATCATTAAACTGTATATGTCTATCAGCATCCAATTGGTAAGTAACAACAAAAACGCTAAATGACAAAGGAGAATTCATAGATTGTAATTTAAGCATATGATAATCTCTACATTGAACCACTTCAAGGAGGTATCCTCTTGCTACAATTGATGTGTCCATAACAGCAAATTATATGCTAAATACCTGCTGTAAATTAATTCTGTATAAATCTGGTGAAGAGGCAGCACAAAGCAAGTCACAGGACCAGCAATCATAAGTAATATCCCTACCCATCCTGTAAAGTCAAAACATCATTAAAATCTGCTACAATTCTCACAAAAGAAACTGAATATACATGAATCAGTGCAAAGAGGACAGCATATCAAAAAATTTCTCTGAGATCTCTGCTTATAATGTAATTTAAAAAATATTCCTAGTATAATAGCTTGGGAAGTAGTGTAACTGCAGATTCTTGGACCCAAATGAAATAATAATCGTAGAAACATCCATAAGACACTTGATCTTAGCAGTAAACACGAACTTCCAGGAGGCATCCAATTTTTCATCATCTGTTATGACCATAAATCACTTCTATCAATGAAAGTCACTAGTCTAAAATTTGGACTGAGGCCAATATTCATAATTAAAGCTTCATATCATGAGGTCATTACTCTCTCCCTAAAAGGTTAACCCATTAGGGCGTGCAACGCACCCATTTATATAGCCAGGACCCTCCCCAAGTCCGTCTGATGTGGAACCTGACAACTCCCCCAAACAATTCGTGATACCCCTGTCATGGTAGCCTACCAGAGGGGCCTACCGACTGGGCAAACTCAGATCTAACTCTAATATCACTTTAACCTTGCAAAAAGTCACGGATTGTGACATTCAGCTTCAATAAACAACAAGGTCTTCTTTTAGATGACTGAAAAAACACTACTAAAAATAGAAAGATATAAGGGAGAGAATAACATATACAAATAGCAAGAGAAGGAAAGAGAAAAGAAAGACCCAAAGACAAAATGCTTTAAACATGCAACAAACCTACCCAATCCTGTAGTTTAATATCCAACAAGTCAACTCCCCCAGAAAACATGGCCACAACTCTAAAGCACGTAAGTCCTACCTCATAAAGAATCTATTGGAGAACATCTAGCAGATGACTTTATGCAGCAAGCTAAACATCAGAAGACCAAAAGAAAGGAATGTGATCGGTAAACTAGCACACAAACATCAAACAGCCATGACTCCATCTTGGGAGTAATTTTTGGCCTTACAAAAAATCAACCCAAAGGTCCAAACAAATTACGGTTGACTTGTAAACAACATTTGTCCCATTTATTACAGCAACTATCAATTGATAAAATCTCCAGATTTAATCTATATACTTGTGATCAATTTTCTTCTTTCACATTATATTTACTGCCAGTATTTGAAGGCAAGAAGGCATCCCTAAAAATGCAAAGTTCCTCTCCAACTCAAGATCCAAGCGCTGTACAACAATTTCTTCTGTAAGGAAGCAACCAATAAGCAACAGAAAGATAAATGAGCAATTGTTTCAACACTTGGCAAGCACAGCATGCATAAAATTATTAGATGAGCTTATGATCTATGAATCTGCAACATGTCATTAGCCTTAACCCTTGATTGACTCACATGTACAGGAAAATGGGAAGAAAATCTCCTGCCTGTATACAACCAATGTCTTTTAGACGAATCTTTTTGTCAAAGAACCAAGGAGAAAGGGATCATAACATGTGACAGAAAAAATTCTGTAGCAAATACTTCAAGAGCAATAGACATCAAGGATAAAGAGGAAACCTTGGTATTCGCAAACTATAATGTTTTCCGTATTTGGCATGGAGAGAAACTGATCGATCAGCACATAAAAATGCAAGTTTTGAATAGTCATCGCTTAAAACCTACATAAGCAACAACATGCACTATTATCAACATAAAAGAATTTTAACATAGGCAGAAAAATGAATAAGTTAACCTTGTCTGAACCACTGCAATTCTGAATCAATAACAGATGAAAGGAAATTAAAAATCAATATAAATCAACAAACAAAAGCATCAGAACAATTATTGAAAGAAAATTAATTGAAAATGGAATGTGAGAACTGCATCAGAGCAAGTCTCCCAGTACGTACATATCAAAGCAGAGATGGCATGAAAACAAACAATTTCAAGGAAAATAACGAGAGTTAAATAATTTTTTCCTACCCATACATTTCAAATTGAATGAAAGCCAAAGTACTCAAGCTACCAATGAAATGTACAAAATTCAGGGCACCATAGTCCATCAAACAGATATGTATAAGAATCCTTATGGCACTTGAGATATGAAGCCATAAGGAGAACTGAAGACACAAAAATTATAATTATAATTCAATAAAAAAGTATTGGAATAGTTCAAAAACATGTAAGGATGAAGAACCATATTTAAAACAAATAATTAAAAGCATTAGGGAAAAAAATTAAAAGTTTGCATGCCGCATAAATTGCAGAAAAATGAAATGCATTAATGAGGATCAATGCCCCGAGACATTAGCTTTTTAAAATAAAACCAGTTTCAATACCTGAAAATCAACAATCTCGGAATCTAAGTGCCTTTCAAACTTCAGTCCAAGTTCCCTAACCTCATATACTTTTACTTGAGGTGGATATATACCTAAAATTCAAAATTACATCAACAGTAGTTATCAGCTTCTGAATTGATATTTATTCTTTATTAATTTATTTACATTAATTTCATCAAACCACTAAAAATGTATTCCATAGCTGATGGTTATACAATATTGTAACCTTGTGACTCGTTTGCTGGTAAACTAAAAATGTCAGGAATCCCTAAATAATAAAGAATAAATCTCTAAGGCAATGCTGAGTCCCAAAATCAAATATAAATGCAATACAAAGTAAAAAAAAAAAAAAAAGAATCTGCCCCATGAATTCGAGGTACTGCCATAACCACACATTCGCACAAATTCCAAGTACCTGATGCTATGAGATACTCCCCATCAGGAGTTGCCTTAATCTTTGTTGTTGCATTTTCAAACCTCAAATCTTGCAGCAGTTGCATGTTTTCCGTGTAACCTAATAAACAAGTAGATGAATAAAAGAAAACAGTAAATAAAAACTTAAAAATCATGATATTAAATACAATTAGCAAAAAGACAATTATAAGAAACATAAACATGTTTACTCAAAAGAACGTCCCAAAATATAAAATTTTTTGACAATTCTTTTCCCGTGATGCCCAAATATATTTTATTGATGCAAAAAAAAAACAATAAATAAAATAAAAATAGCTATCATTCAACATTATACAGAGAATTTGAATAGTCTGGTAATGTTACTCCTACTTATTATTCAATCAATTAAGCTTATTTACCCTCAAGGATGCCTAGTTTATTACTCCTGCAGTAATCACTCTTTCACTGGCTCCTACTATTTTCCTTCGTTACTACCATTCTTGCGTAACACCCTTCACTTGGAATTCAATGTAACAGCAGAACACAGCGAAAAAGCAATTTAAACTAAATATTAGAGAGTTGTAATAAAATAAAACATGACTAGATAAAGTTCGAGAAATATAAAATTGTGAAATTTACAAGAAATAAAGATAGTGGATTACTCTTTATCTTTCGATGAGACTTCTGCTTCTTGGAAGGAAGCCATGAAGCACGTGAGGGTTGCTGGGATGCTATAGTATACAACTTAACGCCGTTTATTGAGGTGGCCTTGATACCACCGTCCCGGGTCGCCATTGTTGCTTATCTATGGAAGAGGATGAGAGTTTTTTGTTCTTTTAAACCTTCAGAGACGAATACGGGGTTCCCGCGTAACTGCTGGAGTCGAAGAAGACTAGAACCAAATCCAGCGTTTTGATTGATGCGGGAGCCTGTATATGAAAACCTAAAGTTTAGTCGGCGAAGTCCGAGCCTATTCCTAGCCTGAATCTTGACCGTTGACATCACCCCCTTTACTCATTTTATTTCTTTTAATATTTTTTGGCCGTGTTTCTTCCTTATTTGGAAAACTCACGAAAGAGGACCTTAGAAAAATATTTTAATATAGACAAAGAGCCAATAAACTTAAAATTACTTCGCATGATTTGAATATAATTAAAATTTATTGTGAAAAAATAAAACTACTTTATATATATATTTATTGTGATAATGGAACTGATTTTTTTTAAAATAAAAATAATTTTTTTAAAAAAATAAGGATTTGTTCACCAAATTATAATATTTTTTTCTGTCACCAAATTAATATTTTAAAATTATTAATAAAAAAATTGATTATTGTTAAAATATAAATGGAACTCATTTTTTTATAAGTAGGGACTTGTTTATCAAATCACAACTCTTGTACCTCTCAACCACCAAGTTAATTTTATCAAGTTGTTTATAGTGAGTTTGATTGTTGTTAAAATAAAACCAAGACTTGTTTTACCTAAATGAAGAATTGTTGTTGAAAGATTATATATATATTTGAAGGGTAGCTTTGTTTTTTTACAATAAATTTTAATTTAATTTACATTTAAATCTCATGATCCTATAAAGCAATTTAAGAATTATTTGGTCCTTGTTTATAATAAATGTTTTTCCAAGTGCTCTAATATGATTTTCCCTTCTCTTTTTCCAACTTGCAATGCTTGTTTAATAAGTTACTTGTCCTCCGCGAAAAGCCAGTAATTCAAATGAATTGTATTTGTTTGGGTCAAGCTTAATTCCTACCCAAACTTACAAAATATATACATATATATATATATATATATATATAATCAAGCTTGGCTTGAATTCCTAAATTGTCATTTCTCCCTATTTTTAAAAAATATCAAAATTTATAATAAAATTTATTTTTTATTATTATAAAAAATAAAATATACTTTTTAAAATACTTAAAAAATATAGGATATAAAAGACTGGACTCTTTAAAAAATTGTAGGTCTTAAAATTTTAAAATAAATATTAAAATATATTTTAAACATTATTTTAAGTTATTTTATAGAACAAAAATAATAAAAATATAATAATAATAATTTTTTTAATTTTTCAAAGAAAATATACTCAAATATATGGTCTCTCAATATAAAATAAGCTAAAAATGAAATAAATAATTAATATTTATTCAAGTATTCAAGCTACTCGATCTTGATAGGTCGACAATAATATGCTTGAACATAAAAAATATGTATTTTTTTTAAACTTGGTCTTAAATTTTTTTTTTAATTTATTTAGGCTTAGTTCAAATCACCAGCTCTACTTGCAGGCCACATAAAAAAAAAACTAATTTACCTAATTCATATTTGTTTTGAGGCTGAAATATATGAACTTTGAGGCAATTACACGAAATACCCCTCACTTTTAAAAGTTTAAAAGTAATTGTCTTAATCTTTTATTTATTTACCATGGACTCACCTACTATTATTTTTTAGTTATATTGCTAACAAAAGTTGTCATGTCGTATCAAAAGAAGACACATGGTAGCTTGTGTGTCATCTAATGTACATTTTTATAAAGCTATTATTATTAGCTTACATTAGATGTTGTATAAGTCGTGTAACATCCTAATTTTCAAGTTAGGGAATTAGTCGGGCAAAATATGTGTGATTGAGAATTTGTTCATGAAATTATGCTTTACCAAGGTTAATGAAGTATTGAGATACATAACATGATAAATTGGGTCTAAGAACATGTAAAAATGTTGTTTAGTGGTTCAAAATAAGTATTGGCTTGATAGAACCAAGCTTAAGGGTAATCGACCCATTTTGTTAATGACCGTGTGTGGATTAGTCTAATAAAGGGCTTGACTACTCTGAATATCAAAAGAGAGGGTAGAAGTGCCTTAAGTGGCAACGACCATTCACGGACGCAAAATATGAAGGCTTGGATTGTGTGCAGATAGATGTGCATTTAACAGTTCTTATTTTAGAAATCAAATTAGAAGACACGAAAGGAAAAGAGAAAGATGAAGAATAAAGAGGTTGCTTTGCTAGCTCAAAGTGGTCTAGAATTGCTTTTAAGCCTACAAATCACATGAGGTAAGTTCTTAGCTCCTTCGTCTCCCTTCATACCCTATTTTCTTATTAGATCCTGGGAGTTTCTTGCTTCAAGTTTTTTATAAGAATGGGAAATCTAATTTTTTTTAGGAAGAATTTGGTTGTTGAGGTTAATAGGAATGAAATAAATGCTCTAAAATTTATTTTGGAGTTGAAATTCAAGTTTGATGATTTTGGGTTAAACCCTGGACTGTCATAGTTAAGTCTTTGCTAAATCCAAATTTTAAATATGTTTTTGTGATAATTATGAGTTTATTTAGATTTAGATAAATGTTTGAAAGTTATTAGGACGATGATTTGTGACTTGAGTCAAAATCTTGATTTTTGGGATTTATTATGTGTGAAATTAAGTTTTGAAAGAGTTTAAATTATGATAATTGGAGAATTAATAGGTGTATTAGAAGTGAATTAATAATGAAAATTACTTAGACTGAGGGTTTAAATATATGGAAGGGTGTTGGGTTAATAAGATTAATTAACTTAATCCTGGATTAAAGTGTGATTGATGCCTAATCACAAATACGCATTATGTTCAGTATTGTGTTTTGTGTAGTGAAAAATTATTTGTCAAGGGAATTTTTATTACTTGGAACAAAGGTAACTTATATTAATTTCTTCAATTGTGTAAGATTGGACATTGAACCAGAAAAGTCAGCGGTTCACGGTTCGCGTGGTTCAACCGGTTGGACCAACTGGTGACGTAATAATTAAATTTAAAAAATTATATATGTATATAATAATTTAAATATAAGAAATACATATGAAATTGCTATTTAACTTAAAAAATTAAATATTTTAAGTTTATCATGACTTAACAAGTCATATGATATAATATAATATCAAATGATTAAAAAAATTAGTCATTTTTTTAAAAATTTTTGATAAAAAATAAAAAAAATTGAACAGTCTGATTTTTGAAAACTGGATCCGATTCCCGGCTTAATTTTGGTTCCCGGTCCGACCTTCAGTTCAAAACGGCTCAAACTGACTCAACTCTTAAAACAGTTTTTCCTTTGAACCAGATCGAAAACTAGACTAGTCAACGATCTGACTGACCGGTTTGATCCGGTTTTCAAAACAGTGCTTATAACTGATTAAGAGTATCTTGTTAAAATAAATTATTGTTTAGAAAATATTATATTGAAAAAATGTGTATTTATCATCCAAAAATTTTAATTGCCAAGTGGAATATATTTTTTTGTGTTTAGTGTGGCAGTGTGATTTATTGTTCAAAATTATCTTTATTCAAAAAATTTGTTGCATGACTTTTCCAAACCCTTAAGGATGTGTGAGAGCTTATCCATTTATGAAATTATACCACATGGTATGCCCTTGTTTAGATGCAACAAGTGGCTTGCCAAGGTTTGAACTGGTTTACATTTAGCTGAGTAAATAGCACTAAGTGTGAACTTCAATCTAAGTAAAAAGAGGAGATAAGGTGAACTGTCATGCATAATTTTTATTATTTTGTTCATTCAATTGTTGTATAGAAATATGTTTTGTGTCCCCACTTAGCAATTGTATGATTAATTGCATTGTATGCATTATACCATTTTGGTTTTAATTATGAGAACTTTCGTGTCTCATTCCTCAAGGTTAATAATTTTTCATAGAAGGGTTCAGTTGGAGAAACAACGAAGCCTTAATGTTGGTGTAAAGTCGCTAACCTTGTGTTAGGCCTCATTTGTTATTGGGTTATATATATCTTGCCAACCTTAGACAATTTATTTAATAACCGAGCATGTAAACTCATAGCTATTGGTAAAATTGTCTTTAGTAGCCATAAGATAAAATTATGAAAACTCATAGTCTCTTTTGGTCTAATTTGAAGTAATTGATATTATGCTTTGGAAATGAGATAATATTGTGATGATTTATTTATATAAATTGTATTGGGTGGTTACAACCCAACTATAATTTTACTTGTGTATAGTGGAAATAAAAATGTTTATGTGTTATTTTATAAGGTCTCTCATACTAATCCATATTTAACTATAAATATCATGGTAATTAAGGATCAAGCTATATAGATTACCAAGTTTATGAACTTACAATAATGGAATCTTAAGTTTTCAAATTTTTAAAATACCCCAATATACTTTTACAAATGAAAAATAAAGGAAGAAAATATCTATGAAAGCATAGAATACTAATTTATATCAAAGCATTTTCATTTCAGTTGGAATACAATAAAACAGTGTAAAAAATCAAAAGTGCATCGTGACTTGTTAAATGTGTGTCACAGCACATTTGCCTCTATACTATGCGCCATGGCACAAGCATTATATGCCATGAAGTATTGCACAATTTTGATAACATTGACAATATGGACAAATTTCTGATGCACCCCAATTCTCCATTTGATGTTTGATTGATACAATTTAGGTGTCTACAAAAAGTTTTTTCCTAATTCTAGCTAATGATATTGGTTTCACAATCAAATTATTTTTTAGTCAAAACTTGAACACATATTTCTCAACTCACTCCTTTTCACAATTTAAATACAACTTAATTGTCATAATTTCATTCAAAGTGCCAAAAACCTAAATTACACCCTATACCATACTCAATATATTATAATAGACTTGTGCAATACACCACATCATATAATTAACACATTCAACACATTTTCAATACTCAAATCGTTAATCACAAAAACAGAAGGGGGAGCCTCAACTATATAATCATCATAGTCATTCATTATCAATTGCATTTGACTCGCTTTTTACTTGCACTAGTATTTTACTCCTTTTTAAATTTTACAATTTACATGTACACAACATAAGGTGCAAAATACACAATTTTAACTTAACATTCACATAGTGCAAGTAAATAAATATGAATTATTCTAGTTGGCAATGTCAAAACAAATCATACAAATGGTTATTCAAATTAAATGAT